TACTGGTAAGTTTCACATAAAGATAGATAGATAGATAGATAGATAGATGGATAGATCGATAGATAGATAGATAGATAGATAGATAGATAGTCCGATAGATAGATAGATAGATAGGTAGATAGATAGATAGATAGATAGATAGATAGTCCGATAGATAGATAGATAGATAGGTAGATAGATAGATAGATAGTCAGATGGATAGATAGATAGATAGATAGATAGATACATAGATAGATACATAGTTAGATAGACAGATGAGATAGATTGATAGATACATAGTTAGATAGACAGATGAGATAGATATCTAGCTAGATAGATAGATATATATATATATGTGTGTGTATTTATATATATTTATCATAATTATAGTTGAACAGGGACACTATTGATTAACCACTGGACTTTGGGGTAACCTATTTCAGACGCTCAACTTTCGATGTTCCTTCAGGTGCCTCGTCAAAAGGCCAGCAAGGAGCTCCATGCGTCGATGGAAGTCTCAGCATTGGATGAAACCATTGGATTGGGGGTAAAAACCATTGAAAACCGTGGTTTCCCATAGTTTCCCTGTAGGATATTCGCTTAATCCATCGATGAAAGAGTGGATGAATTGCCGAATCTGGTGTGCCATTGGCTGGCAGCAAACATTCCACTTTGTCATGTGACATGACTTGGTCGTGGGAGGATCAGCGTGATGGCACGATTTTCGAGGATGCCACATACAAACAGCCCCGACCTTGAAACGCTCTGTGTTGCTTTGTGTTCCCATGCACTCATGCAAAGACCACGCGATCCGATGCAATCACCATCCTAGGTTTGTAGAGAGCCTGTCGGCTCCAAAGACGTTTGAGGCACGCGTTTGAGTTGGGCTGCTCAAGTTAAGTTGGAATACCTACTTACATACTGGCCTGGCTAGTATATGTAAGTACATATACAATCATCTACACACATGTAAACATTGTCATACTGTACATCTTAGATCATTTTAGTATGTATATACTGTAATGTAATAGATCTTCACAGGTATGAAACATGCCTACAGTGCTACCATTTTCCTGCATGACAGCTGGGAGGCTCCTCCGGACCCCGTCGCTGCGCTCCAGCCAGCCACGGCGAAGGACACTCCACTCCTGAACTACATGAAGACCAGGCAAAGTCGTGTTGTGCCTTTTTCAAAATGGGATAATCCCATTGCCCCCGAATATTGAAGACCCGCCCCCAGAAACATTTTTTTACATAGTTTACAATGATGTACAGATATTTGGGACCATAAATTTTGGAAGTGTCAACAATATTTATGGGGGATGGGATTCTAAGCCATGGCACGCTACACCAAGCTCTCACAGGGCAGCTGAACGAAGAGCTCGCCAGGAGAAACGACGCTCGGCGGTACATTTGTGGGACATTTGCGTCAAAATGGACCCGATTACCATGATTTTTCCCACGATTTACATGATCACGACCAAATCTGTTCCCATACCAGCAATGGTCGTGTCTATCACAAATCCCAATAATCCAGGATTTCAATCCATTGGTATGGGATGCCAAATCCATCATTGGCAAATGATGATCCATTAATGATCCAATGATCCATACCAATAATCCATGGATGATGCCAATTTTGATCCATCCCCGACTGATCCAAGATATCCAAGGTGAGAGAGAACGCAAGAGATGGCGTGGAGTGCTCAGAGATAGCTAAATCCCAAATCCATCAAACTCCTTCAAAATCCATCACTATAAAATACTGTACGACTATAAATGAAAAACCATCGACATCCATCAACGATTCATCAATATCCATCCATATCAACAAATCATCAAAAACCATTTAAATCTGTCAACAATTCATCAATATCCATCAACAACGTCAAAATCCATGAAAAAACAACAAATCAGTTGAACCGTCCAAAACGATCGATCATCCTCAGATGACCGCCTTGGTCGGATCGAAGAGAAGCCCAAATGGCGTTGCGCAGAGTGGGGGGGCCGAGGAAGGGTCAAAACCATCGGATGTTCATGGATTTTCCATATATTTCTAGGGGATAAAACAGATTAAAACGGATGAACGCATTGAATGAAACCTATATAAACCTATCACTTTCCATTTTTTTGGGGTAATGACTTTCAGGGATCAACATCCATTTTTTGCCAAGGCATCAGGACTTTGACTGTAGGTTGTCTCAGTCAGCTGATTTTGCCAGGTGTGGTACCTCAAAGCACTTAGAGGAAGATCCAGACCAACGAGGACGGCGAGGGATCCTGAGTGAAGCAACCACAACAGGGCTTGCTACTATGGCTTGATATAACGGGACATCCAACCAGATGATCTGATATGTCATTTGCATGAGTTCGTCGCAAAATGATGCAAAATGGGGAATGCCCCAATCTATAGCAACCGGGGAGCCTACTCTCGGACGCTGGAGAGGCGTTTGCTATTGCACCTACTGCTGGGAGACATGGGAAGCAAAGGCGCGACACATTGCCCCAGAGCACAGTTCACAGGTGCGGAATTCAGCCAATGTGTTGCAACATGTTGCAACATCTATTTACACGAGGAATACAAGAAGAAGAAAAAGTCAAAAAAACATGAAGAGGAGCTCCTAAGGAAAGTTCAGGTGGATTGCAGTGGTTTTCAGCTTCCACTGAATGACTTGGGCTGTGAATTCAGGAGTACGAGGAAGAATGGTATGAAGAGGAGCAGAGAACAGCAGTCAAACCAATTTTTATCATCCTTTCATTGTTGCCAGCAGGCATTCTGAATGGTTTTTATGGATTGGATGGTGAAAACTGGATGGTTTTCTGCTTTTCTCCTCGGCCAAAGCGAGTGACTTGTCAGTTTCCATTGGCCTACATTCCTACATGGACATTCGAGGAACCAACGAAGAAGAAAAAGAAAAAGAAAGGCGGCTATGACGAGTGGCAGTCAAGGAGAGGGCCGAAGATCCCTTTGGAATTTCCATGAATTTCCTCCAACAAATGGGGAGTCCATGTTAGCTTCTGAACTCTCAGGAAATTGATTTGAAGATGTTTTGAGATTTGGATCATGATCCATCGACGTGGACTCATACATATATAGGACATTATAGGATTATAATTGGCTGCGGATTTCTGGACACTGGCACTTTGCTCCGCCGTTCCGAAGTGATTTTTCAGCTGCCTTGCAGTAGCTGGTATGCGGAAGGTGGAGATTCTTGGCATGCACTGGACCAGTCAACAGTCGTCTTTTCCTTTGAAACGCTTGGCAACCTGCCAAAGTGACACTGTGATTTTTGGGTCTCCAGCAAATAGGTCAAACATAGGAGGTCTTTGAGCTCCGAAGCAAGAGAAGAGACGGTGATGGTACCCATGGCGAAACACAAAAGAGCACACCAGGTTTCAAATTAAAGTGCCGATACTGCAGACTGCAGCCATCATGCCGGACCCTGTCAGGTTCATTTCCTGTGCTTCTCATGTGCGCCGATGTAGATTTTTTGTTGCAGCCAAGGAGTGGGATGAAGGTTGGTATGAAGAAGCTGAGGAGGTCGTGGAATGCCGTGGAATGTCGTGAATTTCAATAGATTTCAGCATGCACAGTGCCACAGTGCACAGTAGGCATTATTGTTCTGCGCAGGAACAGTAGTTGGTGTTCAATTTGTCACTTTCACTTTGAAGCTGTCGCAACTGTTCCAGGAACCCAAGAAGAAGAAAAAGAAGAAGAAGAAGGCCATGGAAAGATCACTGGATCACTGGATCACTGAGGCATTTGGCAACTGAATTCTGATTCCGCGACAGGGACAGGAAGAAGAGGAGTATGGTGCATGTCATTGGCGTGCCGAGGTCCGTTGCACCACTGATATGTTATGATCGTCCTTGGTATTTCACACTTTTTATCAATCTTGTGGCAGTTAGTCGATACCAGGACTACTGGGAAGAAGAACCCCGAGAAGGGCGAGAGGGACACTCCAAATCCAAAAGGCAAAACGTGCTTGATACATCTTGACAGCAGCAGTCTTGTGGATGTTTCCCTTTGGATTTGTGGCGGCTCCTTGTGCAGGTCGAAAGCAAAACAAAAGGAAGAGCAGTGGTGGGAAGAGCCGGGGCCACAGGATCCACAGGATCCACAGGATCCACAGGATCCACAGGATCCACAGGGCATAGGACAACAAGTTCGAATTGGACCGAAAGATCAAGGATGGAATCTATTCATCAGTCAGTATGTGTATGTATGTGTTATGTGAGTTATGTGCGCGGAGTCAGTCCAAGACCTAGAAGACAGATGAGCACATTACTGAAGCGGGACGAACGACCATCATTGGATGCCAGTTTGTCGTCGTGTTTCATCAAAGGCCCGAAGAAAAAAGCTCCAAGCGAAGGCACTGTCACTAGGATCACTAGGTTCTAGCAATGACCGCCTGTTGTTTGCTGTTGTCATTGTATGACCAAACTATCCAGTGATGCCAAGCAAACAGCGTAGACTATTAGTTACTGCAGTCCGTATGGTTTTGTTGCACCTTCCAATGTATAATATATTATATTAATATACACATATTATCAAATATTGCCATGTAATATTATGTACTGTATATATGTATACATACATACACACACACATGCAGCGTATACTATCATCTATGTATCCTGATGCGTCATGATCGTGATAATTACTGGTGTCAACACCGGGTACAGGTCCGAGGGAAGGTGGCGTGCCAAAGAAGCAGATGCACCGAAGGCAGTTGTGCAAAGTGCAGAACCAACATGAAACAGTTCTTGAAAGCTCAATGGAACACTGTCATAAATCCCACAAAAATTGAGACAGGAGCAAGAAAGACCTCGCAGAAGCAGGCGGCCTTGCAGAAGATGGCTCATTGCAACTCTGACGATTTTTACTGGTTCCAGTAGGTTCCAGTGATAGGATTGCATTCGATTGCACAGGCGAGAAAAAGAGAGTGAAGGTTCTCAATGGGTTCCGAAGTAGCTGCCTTGGTTCGCACGGTTGGCATTTACAAATCTACGGCTCTGGGAACAGCCTTGCGACGAAACCTCCAAGGCTGCAGAAGCACTGAGCTCAAACCAGCGGAAGCTGGAAGCTGCAGGCGATTTGGTTTTCTTTGGAGTGTCTTGTTTCAGTACATCAAGGGTCCTTATATATAATATATATAGTATACATACATAGGAAGGGATAGGATGGGATAGGATAGAATAAGATAGGTAGATATACGTAGTCATGGTGGATTATATTATATGATTATATATATTATATTATGATTATATTATGATTATATTTGATAGATTGAAGTATTTCCGTACTTTGGGGGTCAAACTTAGATTATAGTGATCAACCCCAAGAGGTGATGGAGTACAATCCTGACAATCCTGGTATCCAGCATCAACAGCGTGGGCATGGGCCATAAATTTTTGTTAAAATCTGACCCAATCCATCCCAAGCCCACAGATGCAGGTCATGATGCAGGTCATGATGGTCATTCTTTGTGTTTCTTAGATATCTTAGGATCAGCATGAAAAAGGGAACCCCACCATCGAGATGAGATACTTGAGCCATCTTGAGCCAGGTCCTGGTGAGAAGCGATTCCGCTGCGATTGCGCTGCGATTCCGCTGCGAACGGAGCAGGACACTGATGACATCTGAACACTCTGGATGTGTTGCTTCTGAGAATTCATCATGCTGTAGGATCAAGAGTTCTATCTGTAGAACTGTCTATAGAAATTCTATGCATATGTTTGCGGTTCAACTCAGTTTGATGTACTGCGCTCCAACAGCGATGGTGGTCTGCGCAAGTTGGTTCGAGCTGGCCAAGTTGGGGAAAAGACCGCGCTGTGCGCGGGCGAGGAGAAGCGGGGTGTACTGTGTTTGTATTCGATGCATTCGTATCTTCCTTCCCAACTCTTCCATGTTTTCTAGGAATATTCAGTTACATCAGATATAGATGATATAGTACTTCTTCTGCAATGTCATGTTTCTAGTATTGATTTTAAACACATCAAACACCTTTGCCCCAGGTCACAGGTTTGTAACCAAAGGGTGAGTTGGCTTTGGAAGCAATCCACCTTGACTGCGTCGCAGGCATATTTAAGATTTAAGATCATGAAAAGACACATTTTTCAAAACCTCAGCACTTGGCACACAGAAACATTAAGTCAAAGCCACTCAAACCCAAAGTTCAGTTTCTTTTTAACGTTGCCCGCTGTCAATGGAAGCAGAGATATAGCTCCATTTCGTCGCAACGTCTGGCGCTCAGCGTCGCTGGGTGAATTTCCGCCTGCTGAATGTCCATCGTGGCGGTTTGATCGCGAGGAAAGATGGGAGAAGAAATGTCGGAGCAGGACAAGTACTGTGGATGATACACAAAATACACAAATGGGTAACATGTTTTAACATGTTTTAATCATCATCAAACACGGGATTCAATGGTGATTGGTCAATTCACAGATCTTTTTTTTCCAGTTCATCATTGGAATGATGATCCAATGATCATTGGTCGATTCCCCAATTGGAATGAGATTGTTTCAACCACCAGCTTTTTCATGATCCGCCAGGAGAAGTCTCTCCGAGACTGCTTCGCAAAGTTTGATGCCAACGGTGATGGGAAGATCCAGGCACTGTTTCGTATCCGCTTCAGCTTCCGACAGTGTATATCAATGAATATCAATGTCTATTTTGTTATTATTATTTAAAGGCTTACGCCTGACAGCCGGGCGCCGGCCAAGCAACGACTTGTGGTGTATGGTGTGGGAAGATTGGGCCGAGATTCTCCGCGCAAACCCAGGGAGGGCTATGTTGAACTGAGGCAGGCATAATGCGCAGTGCTTGCCTGTATGGAAGGAGTCTGGGCCTATAATATTGAGCGCAGGTTGTGCCCATGTTGGGACTAAGTCGGGCCCATGTTGAGCTGGGCCCATCTTGGGCCTACATTGGCCCAGGTTGGGCCTACGTTGGGCCTATGTTGGGCCTATGTTGGCCTATGTTGGGCCTATGTTGGGCCATGTTGAGCCCTTTTGGCAGCGATGTTGGGGCCATGCTTGGGCCATCTATGTTGAAACGATCTTAAGATGCCATTTTGTCCGCCCCGGGCCCCCTCCTGGAGTCCAAAACCACATAAAAACCGAGGTTTTTCAACATCGCCAAGATGAAATTCCTTGCCGCCGAAGGGCCAGAAACACCGTAAAAACCGATGTTTTTTTAACGCCGTAAGCAAAATACACCGTAAATTACAATGACTTTCCATGATGAACCGGGGGTGGGTCGGCGGCGGGGAGGGCAGCGCCTATAACCTTCGGTTACCACCGAAGGCCTCCGGCAAGGACACGCAGTCTGGGCCTATGTTGAGCACAGGTTGTGCCCATGTTTGGCCAAGTCGGGCCCATGTTGAGCCATCTTGCGCCCATCTTGGGCTTATGTTGCACCAAGTCGGGCCCATGTTGAGCCATCTTGGGCCCGTCTTGGGCTTATGTTGGGCCAAGTCGGGCCCATGTTGAGCTGGGCCCATCTTGGGCCTACATTGGCCCATGTTGGGCCTATGTTGGCATATGTTGGGCCTATGTTGGGCCATGTTGAGCCCTTTTGGCAGCGATGTTGGGGCCATGTTTGGGCCATCTATGTTGAAACGATCTTAAGATGCCATTTTGTCCGCCCCGGGCCCCCTCCTGGAGCCCAAAACCACGTATAAATGCGATTTATAAATGTTTATAATGTTTATTTTTGGATGTCACTGGTAAGGTTTTTAGTTCAGTTTACATGATGGCATCCATTTGGTGATTTCTTTGGTGTTCTGACAGGAGGGCGAGTTCAAAAGGCTGATGTCCAGCCTCGGTGGTTTCAGTTCCAAGGACTGCAATGATTGTTGCTGGGTCGTTCCATCAGGATGTTTAAGCGAGACCCAATATGCAGGGGATGTCATCAAATGTTTCATTTCAATTCATTCAAGAGACTTCAAATTATAGACTTGAAAGGGTTGCTGACGAGGATCTCCCATTTTTGGCCGATGTTTGCCAGTAGCAATTGATCCAGGGAACGGATTTTATATTACCCAAAGGGTTTGTCTGAAAATAAAATTCTTCAAAATTCCATGGTCAATCATATTTGTTCTTATTAAAATAGATTAAAATAACCATTTGGGGGTGTACCACATTTCAGACACTGCAATGTCTACATATTTCTCATGATTTTTCCCTACCATGCTGCATCCGCTGATGGCGAGGAGATCAAGCGACTTTTCAAGGAGGCGGACACAGATGGCTCTGGTAGTTTGGGTCCCAGGTGACTCGCTAGTTGACCCCTCTTGGCTCAGGGTAAACACATGGGTTCTACATGGTTTACTATGTCTGACTCATAGTTACACCAACTGATCCAACTGGATCTAACATGATCCAACTGGTTTATTGTGGAATTACAATTGGTAATGATTTTTGGTCATCCCTTGAAACACCTTTGACTAACCTTCTCCAATCTCTTTTCGCTCCCAAGGCGTGGACTGGCGAGAGTTTCTCTCATGGATCATCAATGGAACAGCTCTGAAAGGACTGGGTTTTTTTGAACTCATTTGACACGCAGTGAACATAGTGAACTCACAAAGTGCAAACTCCTATGCAAATTTGAACACCCGAACGCAAAGGTGTCGGTACTATAGACTTTAGATTCAACATACTTCAAGATGATTGTTGAATAAATGCCGCATGCCATAAATGTTTTCTCGGTGCAGGTATGGGAGCCAAAGGCGCTGCCTCCTTTGAGCGATTGTTGAACACGGAGACGCAGGATGAAGCGAGCTTTGTGGAATCAGCTGCTTGGATCATCGATCGGTCCCTGGGGTCACCTCCCTGACGGTGTGCCGGGTGTACCGGTGTCACGTTACCAAGGCTCAAATGGGTCACAACGTCACCGAGTACTTGAAAAAGTCAGGTTCAAAGGGAAAGTCAAGGACAAGAAAGAAGACGACAACAAAGGCGTGGTGGAGACATGTGGAGACCCGGTAACCTGGGTAGTCTGGCGTAGCCTGGTTTTAGTGGTGGACCAACTAAAAAGATTTGATGATTTTGATGCATTTTCCATCATTTTCCAATGTCAGGATGAGATAGTAGTTTAATTAACTTAGTATTAGGATGATTAGAAGGAAACAGTTCTAGGTATGCAGCAGCATCAGACCCTATCAGTACTTCCTTGCTTCCGACCAGCATGGTTGCGACTCCTATCCATGTTTTCGCTCGAGTTCTGGTTTCTGCCGGCCTACCAGGCTGGCTGTGATGAATTTGGAGTTCCAGCAGATCATTCTGGTCACCGGTCTGGTCCTGGATTGGCGTTTCGCGCATTCCTGTCATTTCAAGTTGGCAAATCCAAGGATACAATGGCCAATGACACCGCAGGGTGCGAAAGACCTGCTGGGTCCGGAACCCAAATTCTACATAGTGAATATAGTGAACAAACAAGACATGATCCATATGATCCCTGATATCCTTGGAGATTTGAGCAGATTCTACAAGTCGGAACACCTTCGAAAACGGTCACGGTGCATTTTCTGCGATGTGACAGATCACTTCCTTCACAACGGCTCTCGAAAGCCTCTACATGCAAGGCAGCGATCTCAGTGGGAAAGGTTCTGAAGATCTCAAGTTGGGCAAACAAAGGATATAATCTAGTAGTCATAATCAATTAACTATATAACTGTAATGATGCAAAAATTGACAATTATACCAAACTTGCAATTTCACGTATTTCAATGGGAAGAATGATGATCCATTGGAATTAGGAGCACCCATGGGCACCCAATTTTCAAAAAAAGAGAGCTAGAATTTAAGTCCATTGGGCAGATGACGGTGAGCATCGATCTGAAGGCATGTCCAGCTGATCCTCGACGAATTTGTGGCCTCCTACAAGAGTAGACATCCAAAGCCAGTGATTGAAACAGAAGTTCCGCAACCGGAAGGAAGGCAGGGAAACTGGAGCCAGCTGGTAGATCGAATCAACACATTGCAGTGTCCAGAAAAGAATTTATCGTGATATTTTAGTGAAGTCTTGCAGACTTATGGATCAACAAGAAATATCCGATATCCAACAAACTTTAACTTTCAAAGTGTTGGATCACTCGCCCTTGCAGGCTGGTGATCGTTGGCGATACCCACGGACAGCTGGCTGATGTGCGCAACCAGATGCTGTATATCACTGTGCTTTTCCAGAGAAGTGTCACACCGAAAATCTTGAACTGAAGATGCACTGCTGACGGAGGTACTACACATCCTGTATCATTTGGGACCTCCCAGTGCCCAAAACAGGCAGGTTCTGTTGCTCGATGGCGGCCGCATGTTGAAGGGCAGTTACCGAGTTGTCCTGGAGCAGGTATTTGTTCAACGGTGACATGGTTGACCGCGGGAGTCAGGCAATTGACATCCTGATTGAATCAGAGAGGCATTTTAACTGTGAGCCACCTGATAATGGATGGCTGGAAAAAAATGAAAAGAACAGAAATCCATTTCCAAACAATCAGATTTGCGAATGGACCACAGCCACAAGACTATGCTTGTTTCCTGTTAACTCTTAATCAAATTTCAGTTGAAAGGAGTTGACTTCTGAATCCCAACGACATCGACAGGGCGTGGAGATCCTTCTTATCCTCTTTACATTTTTTATTGCAGACAATGAGTCACTGCCTCAGAGTGGCGGGGGATCTCCAGGAAAAGAGGGATTTAACTTACCATGATTTAACAGCCAAGTATAGAGCGTTCTCCTATCAATTCCCTCAGATGAGATATCCTGGATGAGGTCGATCATCATTCATCGCGGGAACCATGAGAACGAGGACTTCTTGGTCAGGGTTTGTGGGAATATCGGTGAATACACCAACATAGTTTTCTTTCATGGGGAAATCATGATCAATTTTTGTTATTTTGGTACATTTTGACACATTTGGAGTGTCAACTGTCCAATTTCTGCCTAGGAATGCATGTCTCCTTACATCTCCTTACAGAACAGAGGCTAGCGCTTCTTTCTTGAGGATATGAACGCGCTGCACGCAGACAACGGTGGTGGTTTTGAAGATGAGGCTTGTTTACTGAGTTTACTGCTTGTTTTCCATTTTTCCCACTGCTTTTCAGACCATAGTTTGTAGTGATGGGTGAGCACCCTATGGCGCCAGGTCATGGAAAAGTACGGATTGTCAGTGCAGCAAACTCAGCCTCTAAAACAACTGTGTTGAAAAGATCCCAGGGGAGACTGCTGGAACCCAGTCCATTTCCAACCGGGCAAGGTATCGGCACTTTATCAATGCTTTCAAGTCGCTTTCATTGGCCTCGGTGATTAACAAGGCGGGATGAACTGCGCCAAGACAGGGTCAAGATATGGCTTGTCATGATAATGTGTGTTTGATTTCTGGGCCATGGATGACGGTGGCCCTATGCGCTATGATCATCCGACGCCAACTCCGATCGTGCTGCAGGAAATTTTTGTCGTGCACGGAGGTTTGACGAGAGTTGGAAGCTTGGTGATGGGCATGGTTGGGCCTTCTGCTTCAGCATCAGCTAGTATCAGTGGGCCTGGCATGCCGGCAGTCATCAGGTCAAAAACTTGACCGTCGATTACATCAACACATTGCCATTTCAGGAGGGGAGATGTAGGGGAATCTAGGGGAGGCATTCCGACAACTGCAACTTGATCCAGGGATGTCCAGGGTGACCTCAGAGAGCTGTTTCGTATTCGTGCAGGAATACACGGCACCTCATCCAATGTCCACCAACGTGAAGGCTGGACGGCTGAGTTCTTTCGTTGATCCTGCAGTGCTGCGATGGCACCTGGACGACCTGGACTTCGTCCTTCTTGGGTTCCTGGGTCGGCCAGGAGCAGCTGTTTTCAGACCTATTGTGGAGTGATCCCACGGAGTATGAGGGCAAGTACAAGTGGAGCCGACCGTTTGATCCATTTGCCAATGTAAGATCTGTAAGATCTGTAAGCAGTTGCAATTTGTTCGCCGTTTCCAGTGTTGGCACAGCTCCGACATTTGGATCAAATTCAGCACATGTACCAACAAGATCCAACAAGTATTGCAATGTATTGCAAAGTTGGGCTGAAAACGCATTAAACATTCCAAGCAGCCAAGTCCCAGAAAATAGTCAGCACATGAGATAGGGAATGAAGGTGATCAAGAACAGTTTCATTGCCGTTCAATTCCCGTTTTGTTTCTATCGGATTCTATCGGTTGCTGATGAAATCCGCATTTTTGCGACCCTTTAAAGCCTTCGCCCCGTCATGTCGCGTCGGATCTGGCCATGCTGACCCCTCCTAGATACAAGCCTGCGAGTGTGATACCGAGCAGAACCCACCATTTGAAAATGGGGACATGGGCACTGTACTCCCCAAAACTGGATGCTTAGGAATCTTAAATGACCAAAATATGTCAAAGACATTATATATTTATATATATATATATATTATAATATTTTGATTTTCCGAAGCGCTATGCACCTCCGATTGAGCCACACGTCCGCTACTTCAATTTCGGGGCGAGAAGAACTGTGTAAGAAAAAGTAGAGGATAATGGCTCTTTTGGGAACGCTGCTAACTTGCATAACCGGATGGAATAGGCAAGGTGGGGCCCATCCATCGAGGGCGTTGAGAAAACAATTCACGATACTGTAACCACGACGATTTTGTCGGTGGAGTAAAATAGTTTGAAGTCTACGATTACTGGCTGTTTCGGATCTAAGATTCTGATGTGAACGGTTCCGCGAGGACTGTGTCCGGTAAAGGAGTGGTACTGCCTTTGGCCCCTATTGGGGATCTGAAGCTGTGATTTATCCTTAGGTCTACGCTGAAAAATATGAGCAAACTGCCAGTAGGCTACAAGGTGCGCCAGCTCATTGTTGGTGTAGGGGTCCATGCCAAGAAGTTGTTGATGAAGTTGGTAAGCTCATCCACTATGTAGTCGAACTGGAGGATATTGGTCAACTCAAATGAAAAACCTAGGATCTGCTGGTAAGAGTTCCTCTCGCTCTTGCTGATGTGGAGGTGGTAGTCACAAAGGGGGCATGGTCTTTGTATAATGAGATTTTTGCATCGATGTACATCTGTGGTGAGACCTGTGTCGATCTGGTATTGATGGAAGAGCTGCTGAATAGTTATGGAAAGTCCAAGTGCTACTCTGTGTCCTTGTTCTTCATGTAGAAGGATATTCCAGTCGAGGTTGTTCATTGTAAATCCTGTAGCTGGTAGCCCTCGAGGTGGGAGTGCTTTGTTGCCAATCGTGCATTCCAATGTCTTCAATCTGGTATCCATGGTGTTGATCTGAATGTGAGTGTTGTACTGCTCAAGGATGCTCAAGTGTTGGAGTTTCGACCTGTTGAAGGTCAGTGAAATGTCGCTTCTTGGTGAGGTCAATCTTGCGGAGTTTGCCTTGTCAGGGTCGAAGTGAAGTGCTTCTGGAGAGGAGGTTGTGGGCAAGGAAGTCAGCTCTGGGTTGAGGTGAAGATCGAAGTTCCTGTTGGAGTCCAAAGTCCAAGTCTGACAGCTCTACATCCTTAGCTGATAGTGCAATGAGAAACTCTTCCCATCCTTGGTCTGTTCTGGGTTCCTTTGCAGGAGAAGACTCTCTGGTCGTAGCTCGATGTTGCCTCATAAGTTCAAGTTCTTCTGGAGTGAGGGTCGTGGTAGTAGGTGATGTAGTCGATGTGGCTTGAGGAGGGTGAGGTGGAGAAACTTCAGGTAGTTCTTGAGATTCTTGGGATTCTGGCCATTCTGGCTGCTTAATTAATATCCATGGCCTCAATGAGGAATTGCTTCAATACACGTGTTTTGAAAATTAAACATAGTAACAGCAAGTGAGGGCGCAGCCCAATCAACATGTGGTCCATGAAAGTAAGCATTGAGGGGAGGAAAGCAGAAAAGGCATGAAACTTGGAGCATGCCGCACCAATTAGCATGACAGCATTGCTGTGGCAAAAGCTAAAGCTCTTGCCAAATGCCTATATGTTATTTATTATTTATATATATATATATCATATATGTTATTTGTATATCCATAAATATACCAGGATCTTGTCGGCATTGGGTATCAAAATCAGATAATGAGACCCATACCCACCTGTCCGCGCTGAGGTGAGACCTTCTCCTGCAGGAATGCCCATGCAGATCATGCAGGACCAGCATCGGGTTACAGCTGGCAACGAGGCAGTGCCTCACGTGTGATCGATCTTGATTTAACATTATATACTTGTATCATATATCAATATTCTGTATATATAGATGTATATTATCATATATGTAGATATATATATATATATATTAACATATATATATATACATTATCACATATATATTTATCACATATATATATATTATCAACTCATATATATATATATATATTATCATATATATATTATCATATATATATATATTATCATATATATATATTATCATATATATATATTATCATATATATATATTTATCATATATATATATAGATATATATTATCATATACATATACATATATATATATATAGAGATAGATAGATTATTATACCTCTGTACCATTATTTGACATGTTTTTTTTGCATTTTGAATCCGTATTTGCCATGATTTAACATATGTATCCCATGATGTGCTACGACTTAGGGCCTTCGGGCAAAGTGCCAGGTGCCGGGCCTCAACGGTCTCAACGGTCTCAACGGTCTCAACAGTACCGTTCCGCAGCCGCAGCGCTTGCCGCAGCGGCTTTGCCCATCGTGGCGCGGACACATCGTGGCAGGCGCCCTGCCCGAGCTGCAAAGGCTGCGGAAGGTCCAGGCGAGGGAATTCTGACCTCACCACGACCTCGCTGGAAATGAAGGTTAGAACATGTTGCTTCGATATGATTTGATTTCATCACTATACAATGCACACATAATATACATATATGTATATAATATGAGGTAGGGTCAAAACTCTGGTGTACTGTTTTTGTAAAGGAGAGTTCTCTTGTGTCTGGAAAGTGCGCCAAACTCTGTGTAGCGATAGCCCCCCCCCAAAGCGATACCTATATCGTGCATAATGTCCACATCTGAAGTTGTTTTGCACAAAGTTGCGTACATGCAAGGGGCGAAATTAGCGATACCTTAGCGATACCCATTTGTTCAAAAAGTAGTCCCAAACCACAAACAGACCCTTTCCTTTCCTTTTCCTGTTTTCTTCCCTTTTCTTTTCCTTTCCTTTCCTTTTCCTTTTCCATCCTTTTCCTGTTCCTTCTCTCCTTTTCCTTTTCCTGTCCTTTTCCTTTCCCTGGCCTTTGCCTTCGCCTTTTCCTTTCCTTTTCCTTTTCCTTTTCTTTTCCTTTTCTTTTCCTTCTCCTTTTCCGTTCCTGTTCATGTCCTCTTTTTGCAAAACCATGGATAGTGATAGGCCCCCCCAAAAGCGATACCATTTTTCCGGGAACTTAGCGAAGACAATGAGTTTGACAACGGCTCAAATATAAATACATTATACATATATATACCGGGAACCACCCCACTTTTTTAAAAGATTCCTTCAAATGTTTAAGGTTTGAGACCCCAAATCGACCCTAAATCAGCCTGTCGAATCTATATGACGGTCTTGGGAGGCGATGCTGCTGAACAGGAGGTGGGGGTGAATGGTTTTCTCGAGCACATTGATTTGTTGAGAACTATGGAGGAAAAAAGATCTCCTGGTTAAAATCTGCTGGTTCATCATCATTTTCCCATCAGGAGCTGCAAAGACTGCGCTTCCGAGGGGTGAGCTTGCTTTTCGGCGTCACGGCCTCGGATGTAACTCGTGGTCTTCGTGCTTTGAAGAGCCTCTGAATGGTGGATGTGAGTATGTCCGGTAGTGGTACTGATGCGCATATTGGTAAATGTATATGTATGATATATCTAATATTCATTTAATATTCATAGAATATTCATACAATAAACATATAATATTCATATAATATTCATTTAATAGTCATATAATAGTCAGTAATATTCTTATAATAGTCACATAATAGTCATTTAATAGTCATCTAATATTCATCTAATATTCAGATAATATTCAAATAATATTGAGATGATATTCATTTCATATTCATTTAATATTCATTATATATATATATGTATGTATATGTATATGTATATCTATATTTTTTTGCATAGACAATATCCAAATGATATGTAACAATATTTGTAATGATATCTACTGATGTCTACTGATCTCTGGTGATATCTTATTTAATATCATATATAGATATCTAATACTAATGATACTTCTTAATATGTATATGTTTGTATATGTATAAACTGCATAGATATTGTCTACTTTCTGGCCTCCAGGATGCTGCTTTGCAACGCCTGAAGCACAGCCATGCCGCTGTCCTTGGCATCGGTGGAGTGGGCTCCTGGGCAGTTGAGAGCTTGGCGCGCAGCGGCATTGGCGGGTCACCTGGCAGCAGCGGAGCTATGCGGGGCTTCCATCCCGGGGTCATCCCCCAATGGTTTCTCTACTCAAAGGGGTGTAAAAAACAAAGGTTCCATTCCCTATGGTCTACATTCTACATCATCATATATGTAGTATATCTGATATGGTCTAATATTAAACACCCCTACGAAATGCTTTTAAGTTAAACAACCCTACTTTTTTAATGGTCCCAAAAAATGTGGACATTCCCTACTAAACCATGGTTTCGTTTGGGGGTGTTTAATATGAATGGGGGAAGGGATTAATAGTACTATGTCTGAATTACAGGCACATCCTGGGAGTTTTCAATATAATGAAAAATAGGAAACAAATAGGATTGACCCCACCACAACAAAATAGGAAACAACAGGGAAACAAATAGGAAAAAAATAGAAACATAGAGCGTCAAAATCACGGGTTTTTGTCCACCCATTGTTTTTCTATTTTGTTGTCAATCCTATTTTTCCTATTTAAATCCCAATTTTATTATTTCCTCCATTTCCAAGGGGTGCCTGGAATAGGCAAACATGAATATAGTATCTGCACGAATTCTAATGACCTCACGTCGTGACATCACTGGAATGATCTCCACATGGTCTTATTTCAACTATTTTCAGAGTAGTGAATTCTTACAATTCAGCCAGATTTATGGAAGATGGACTTGGGTATTAATTTCCATTCAATTTCATCTTGAATTATTTTCCGTACATTTTGATATTATAGATATTTGATGATATTTGTTTGCTTCAATTGGTTGATCATTCGCGACTATCAATCATTGATTGTTGGTTGTGGTTGGCATATTACTTTTGCTTGATCATCGATTCATTGTTGATGGATGGTTTAGTAATTCCATGTAATTCCTGTTTGTTAATGATCATTGGAGACACAAATGGTTTATGTACATTTATGTTGATATTTCAGTCGTGGAAGATGTTGATAAACTATTGATTCTTGGCTGGGGTTGGCATGGGTCAGTTTGTCCAAACTACTGAGTATCGCCATTTTGTGCATCTTGGGCTTGGCTCATCAGTGGCCCTAAGGCTCACTTTGGTTGATCTGGATGAGATTTGCATCAGCAACACCAACCGCCAACTGTCAGCGTTGCGCGGTTGCGGTTCCGGTTGCGGTTCCGGTTCCTACTCTCTGACTTGGTCTCGCCAGGCATACTCTGGCAGATACCGTGGGACGTGCCAAGGCGCTGCGCTAGCTGATTGAAGACATTGAAGGTGATGACAGTGATGATAGATAGTGATGAATTCAGATGATTGTGATGAAGGTGATACTTGTTGATGTCTTTGTCGTCGAACAGCCCTGGGCTCCAGACGTTGGCCAAGGTGGATGTGATGGCAGAGAGGGTGAGGCAGGATGGAAATCTGTGATGTACATCTCACAACACCCACAGTTTGGGTGTTTGGGCATGTTTGGGCCAGATGTGCATGGCTGAGGCTTATCAACCCGGACTGCAGGGTTGAGACAGTGCTGCGAACTCAGGAATTCAAAGGACACCCCACATTTGGATCCCAGGAAGATTGAGAGAAAGAGAATAGAGAGACCTCGAAGTTCAGCTGAGGCAAGACTTCTTTGTCCAAGAGACCGAGAGCGACATCTTGGACTCAAGACCGTTTGATGTACAACTCCTATAGCTGGACTGGCATGGCATGGAACCAGAGGCCGTTGATGACAGATTGAGACCTACTGGAAAATGCCCATGAGGTCGTGGTAGATGCCATTGATGGTGTTGCAAACAAGTGCCGCCTGATCTATGCGTGTCTGCACCTTTGGCTGCCAACGGCCTTGGATTTCTGCGACAATGTGTTGGAACTTCATGTTGGAACTTTCAAGAAAGGGGTCTCCAAGCGTAGCCTTCAATAGGAAGACACTAAAGTCATCGAAACTCACTATATCATTCAATTTCTGTCACCGTGTCACGGCTCCAAATATCTGGGCGAGGTCGTGAGCGCAGGATTCCCATCGTGGTCTCAGGTGGTTTGGGCGGCAAGGCTGGGGACTCAGCAGCGACTGAGTCGTTCGCCGTCGCTCGCCGTGAGAGGCGGATCCCACCATGTTTTGCGCCGATGATATCACGCGGGTCCATGGTGCGAAGCTCTGCAGTGAAACCAGGATCACAACGGGGTTGTCTGTATGTCTGTGTGCTCCCTGTCCAACGGGCGATAAAAAAGATGATTATAGATGATGTTATGGCCTATTTGTGGCACTGGGAAACTGTGAAACATGATGTGAAACATGATGTGATGACTCATGAAGTTTTGGGCTACGCCCATATTATGGGTATCCATGTCCCTATGACCATTTGAGGGTCTCCACGCTCAAAGGTGATGGACTGACACGTCGTGTACGCAGCACGTTCCTTGGCGATTGTTCGAACTTTGGTGGGGCTGGGATATATCATCCCGGTACATCGTGCATTCCGTGCATGTCTAAATATATGGTATGTATTTCAGGACGTATAAGGGGAAACCAGTACCCAGTTGCTGATTTCAGGGATCATCCCTCAGTCGATTCCATATCCATTGTTGGCTTCAAATTGGAAGGCTTCGGTCCAGATACGGATTCCCTTCTGGAGAGAAATCGAAGAAGAGGCTCGCACCAGCAATGAGAAGATGCATCAGAAAACCAAGTCGCAAGAATATATTTATATATACGTACATTATATGTAGTATGGTGTAGTGGTGTATGGGTCAAAATCATGGCCCCAGGGACCAGACATTTTGGTATATGTTGGTCATTTTAGTATCATTTTAGTAACTTAGTCATCCATCCCTTTTTCGTCTGCCCGCGAAACTTGGTTTTTGAATACCCTGCAGGTGGGGAATACCTGTTGTCTACAGCCCGGAGACACCAAAGTTTGTGGCTGACGAGTTGTCCGAAGGCTGGGACGTGGCTGAGATTTTTGTGATGCCAAGGTGATGGCTCTTGTCATCAAACACATTTCCAGATGATCACATGAGGATTTGGACATGAATCAAAATAAATCAAAATAATACGAATTCTTGAATTCTTGACATGGGGTTTTCAATTGCCAGGTTGTGTTGTCAGAAGACACATTCTGCAGTTGATGAGCTACATCAGGAACTGCAGGAGACTCACCAGGAAGGAAGACCTGCGTTTCATTCTCAGACGTTTTTCCACTTGGAACCTCCAGTTGTTTATTCACATGGAAAACACATGGAAAACGTGTCCCTTCTGTTTCAATTTCCGTTTCCCTTTCCATCATGTATCTAGATGTATCTAGGGGGACCGGAACAAACCTTAGGACAGCGGCTACGGGACCTTTTGCCCCGCGGTCAGGATCCTTAGATCTCTGTGAGGGTTCGTAGCCGATGGCTTCGCCTGGCCCAGGCCGGTGCACAGGGCTTTACGCTGGCAGCGTGTGCTGCAAAGTCGCCTTCTCAACGTGACCAGTTGCGGCATTGCGCTATATTGCGCTTGTTGTTTTTGGATGTTTTTGGGTCTCCAGTTGGGCTTGCGATCCCCGCATGTTTTGGAATTTCATTGAAGTCTGAGGATAGTTATGGCGGGTGCTGATTCAACATCCGCTTGACTGCGTGCGGATGATGCTTCGGCCGCCTTCGCTTTCAAAAAGAGCGCTCAAGTATGCTCAAGTGTTGTGAAGGATTTAACGAGATGGAGCGGCAGCATGCGACAGCCAAACCTTTGTTGAACAATTTTGAGCAAGAGGGAATATTGACGTTGCAGCCATTTGCCAATGTGCCAATTTTGCTTTAGCCAGGTCTGATCGTGGCGTGGGAATCAAGTATGGCCCGGACGTCACGACAAAGTTCTGCAGCCAAAACCGGCTCAGGCGAGCCCTGCGGAACTGCCGCGGCCATAGCTGGAAGAAACGAAGCTCAATCCGAAACGATGCTTCGCCGCCAGGTTCATGGTACGAAGCCATCAGGTTCCGGAAGATGGGCCATGCTGGCGCCAATTTGGAGAACACTGGTGGAGACATGTTGAGATATGTTGATATAATCATTAAATTATATTATATCAGTATATATAATTATATAATATTATATACATCATTTATTACATCTCATTATACATTTACATTCTTCAGACTGTAATACATACTAATACCTAATAAAATTGACAAACAGATCACATTCTTTTACCTTTAACCGCACTTGGTGTTGGACCTGTCCCTTGGCCAGGCGTGGCTTTCAGAAGCAGCACAATGATCGTTGTGTAACTGTGTTCAGTGCTAGCAACTATTGTGGAGATGGAGGGTCAGATCACCCAGTGGCACGGAAGGCATCTAAAACATCCAGCATCATCCAACTATATATTTGTTGATTTCGTTGGACTTCTCTGAGGAACTTCGGTGCCGTGATCGTGCTTTCTGCCGCCAACTTTCCTCGCTATGAAGTCTTTGAGTCGATCTCCCAGTGTTTTTTAGGAAGATTATTTTGCCACTTCCAGGGAAAGACCAGGCAATTTTCAGACGTTCATTACAATTCATTGCCAGTCACCAGTCTTTTTCTCAACTATGAACCAACTATGAACCAGATCTTCGTGGATCCAGCGCTTCAGTGTTTTCGTGGGGCTTCGCCGCCCAAGGCACTTTGCTGCTCCCCTGGAGGAATTACCAGCAATCGTTGCCCAAGGTGCTGCCGCTGGATAGCGCCCAATTTCATCATTTCTTTGGTGCCCTGCTGACCAAAAACAGGTGATGCGACCGACTGGAATCAGATGTCAACGTCACAGCAGAGAGACAGTGTGGAAGTCCAACGCTTAGCGGCTTAGCGGACCCTCCCAAGTTCCATTGATGGCTATGGGGCTATGGGTGAACACCAGGATAGCATAGGATAGCATAGAATAGCTGGGATTTATGGATGTTCATAGCCACCAAATATGGGATAAAAACACATACATACATACATACATACATACATACCTTACATTACCTTACATTACATTACATTACATTACATCACATGACATCACATCACATCACATTACATTACATTACATTACAAACATAACATAACATAACATAATATAACATAACATAACATTGCATTACATTGCATATATGCATGCATGCATGCATCATACAAACAAACAAACAAACAAACAAACAAACAAACAAACATACATACATACAGACAGACAGACATACATACATACATACATACAGACAGACATACATACATACATACATATGTATATATATATAAACGTAGTTGTACTGTCTATAACTGTGTGACTGTGTGTATATAATAAATAGCTATAGGGGTTTGGTCCATCCACAGATTGAACATGAAACTGCGGCTGCTGAGACTTCTCGTGCAGCTCGGCAAGAGAAAACCTTCGAGACCGGGGCTCAGGGTCAAAATCCCATTGATTTGGCATAATTTTTGGAGTGATGTCCAGAGATTTCCATTCATTTCCATTACCCTCTGGTAAACTAACATAGCTATGGAAAATCACAATTTTCAATGGGAAAATCCACTATAAATCACCATTTTCAATAGCTATGTTAAATTACCAGAGGGTATTGATTTCAGCCAACTTTGGCAAATGTTTGCCCAGACGTCGTTTTGAGGCGAATGATCATCTCCATCATCGAGAAGAAGCCTCAACTCTGGGCGTATATCATTCGAAATTCACTAGGCCGGGAGGAACAACTGATTCCCCCGAATTGGTTTAAGGGGAAGAGCATCGGCACCCCCTTGTACTTGAAGGTGAAGAAAAACACACGGTTTTCTGTAACATTCCCCATCAATCTATAATCAAACTATTGATGAATTTCTGATGTCACTTCAGTGAAGCGTGCAGGGCAGAAGCTGAAGGCGGAGGATTTCGTCCATATGATGGAACAGCCGGCATCCAAAATCATCCAATGGGGCGTCCAGCCGGGGGAAGTTGCCATGGTGCTGAACAAACTGTGCTGAGGCAGACTGATGGCGATCATCCCTGGATGGAGGCCATGGCGAATAGTTGGAGGAATGGACCATTTTTCTGCAGCTTTCAAATTCAATTTGGCCATAGAAGATTTTAGTCATCCAAGTGTTGGGATATGTTGGGATACTGTTCTCTACATTGAAATTGTATGTAAAATATTGTAAAATCCTATGTCGGGGATTCTCGACCCATTCCCAAGCCGATTGCTTGCTCAAATCCATCATTGTTTGGTAGAGCCGCCTCTTTTTGACTCATCAGCGCTGTCAGGCAATGGAGGTATGGAAAGTAATAGATGCGAACGGAGATATCGAGGCTTGAACTTCTCGGGCATCCTTTTTCCGTCTTTTGCCAAAGCTCATTTGAGCTAGAATTTTACTGTGTTTATGATTCCTTGTTAATACATCCATAGAAATCATAGAACAATATAGAACATGTGTTGTTGATCATAATATAATCATATATAATCCATCATTGTTGTTGGTTATTGTGCTCCTAGGTAATATAATCCACAACTTACCATGTCGTCCAGCCAGCTGTCGCACCTGGATAGGTCACGAAGTTTCTCAATCGATGGGTGGTGAAAAGCGAATCAGCTGGCTATTCCTCGCCTGCCTGCCATGATTCATTGTCATCATGTCATACCATGTCAATATCTGATGATATACTATAATACTATAATATACTATATATATATATATGTGAATGATCTGAATGATTGTGGATGAATGGTTGCAAGATGGTCTTTCTTTCTTTATTTTGTTCTGCCGACTCATTTGAGGCCCTGAGGTAATGTTATGATTCGGCCCAAAGTGTCCATGTCAGGTTTGTCAATGATGCCATCAAGCAGGTCTATGAGGTGCCCTGAGACGTACCAAGCACCCCTCATGTCAGCCTTCACTTTGGGGGCATTGAAATCAACATCAATTACCAGTTTTTGGTCCTTTTTGGTTAGTTTATATATATATAATATAAGTCATAAACCAACCTTATTAAACGTATTAGATTTGTTAGAGTAGGTAGAAACCAACTACAACTAACTTATTCCCCCAGGTGAAGCCTTCCCGTTGAACTGTGGCCGGCTTCGGCCCAGGCGATTGTGGCAATGGACATGGATCTGTCAGAGACCTTCAAAATGTTCGACACCGATGGAGATGGGACTGTGGACCTCAAGGAAGCCAAGCAGGCCAGGTTTTGGCCATGTTGGTGGGAATGGTGGCCAAAACCCTGGTTATTCATGGTGATTAGAGGGTGTTACACTAGCCAATTTATACATATACAATATAAAACAATATGACATGATATAAATGAATTAAATGCTATATTATATATATGATATATATATATAATATGATTTATATATATATATATGATATATATATATGATATATATTTATATGATATATATATATGATATATATATATGATATATATATATATGATATATATATATATATGGATACATAATTACATATGTTGGAGGTGACCAAAATCCATTCTGAGACTTTGCTTTTGTGAGATATATTGAACTCAAGTTGTATCCAGCGGCAGGTCTTAGAGAAGTTTGATCTGGGTTTGTCGCAGTGAACTCAGCTGCTGCAGCTGTGGATTGGAAGCCCTGCAGCGCAGAGACTTCTTTGACTTCTTTGCCTTTTCAGGTCCAGCCAAATTGATCGACTTCTTGGCAGGGGCCTCGGCACAGATTGCAGGAATCTTTCAAAGTTGCAGATGTGTTTCTATTTTTTTGTTTATATCTGTACAAAACACTGTAGAGGATCTTGCTGAGGAGGAACACATTTTTTGCATTTTTTACAAGAGCTACGTATTTATTTTGAATTCAACACGTTCTTGCGAAGGTGTGCAGGACTGTGTGCCACTGCATGGTAAAAAAACGAAATTTGACGCTGGATCTCGAAGCCAGGCCAGCTATTCTCAACTTCTTCGGTCATCACCACTGCAGACAAAGCCCGAATGTCCATCCAGGACACGGCAGAGAAACAGAGCATGGATGGTGCACCATTTTCCATCATTTTTCCATCCATGTTCAGCCATTGTCATCCATTGTCATCCATTTGTTCCATCCACATTTTGTAATATGTTGTCCATTTTCTACAGATTTCTTCATGCGATTGTTGAGTTGGATCCAACTGGAATTTCACTGTTCCACTTACTGTCAGGACTTCTTGGGACACTTTACCATGGTGTACTCTGCCACGAACAATGCAGACCTACCCAGATGGTTGGCCCTCAGACACGCGAAGTCCAGCATGATCAACGAGCTGCTTCCGTGTATTCAAAGCAACACACTCAAGTCGAGCAGCATAACATAGTAAAATTCTGTGACTCTTCTTGACTCTTCTATAGTCTATAGATGTCTATAGTCTATATATATATATATGTATATACATAGATGTCTATAGTCTATAGTAGGAGACCCAATTTCTATCCAATGGGTTGGTTACAGAATATATATATAAAATATATATTTATGTATGTACACACCCGTACCCCCATTGGTTGGCTTTAGATGACTATTAAAAAAACCAACAGAACTCGGCCTCAGGGTGCTGGACACCTTGGGTCAGATCGGTCGGCTGATCGTCAAGGTGAAGGCGGGCCAAATCTATACATAGTGTGTGGTCATATTTTGATATATATATATACATATGCGTGGAACTATCATGAACTATCAATGATTATGATATTATAGATTAACATAATTAGCTATGTGAATTATCAGTTATCAGCGAATTGTGTATGTGCATGATCAGATTTACGATCAGATTTTCGAAAAGAAGTAGCATTGTTTACATTCATTTACTATGTTGTTGTCAGATAGTCTTATCAGAGAATGGTAAATGCAAGGTGTTCTCAGACATTCTTCTTGTCAGATATAGTAATTGCACTTACTACATGCGCCATGGTCCAGGTCAAAACTAGTGGCCCATGCGCCAAATTGGAGGATGGTCATCAATTTTCCTTGGGATTTGTAATTACCCACTATGCTTGGATTCCCCCTGTTAGGGGGATGACCATAAACCAGATACATCCGCCATGTTTGGACCATTACGGTCGCTGGTCGCTGCTGCTTGTGGAAAGTCCGTTGCATCACCAGGCACCTGGTTGGCTCCTTAGTCATGGCCAGAAGCTACCAAGATGGGTGTCTGAAAGTGGGGATAGCCCACCAAATAATTTGAGGAATACCATGGTCATTATGGTCATTACATGGTGATGGATGATCATGATCCATCGTTATGATTAAACCATGGAACATGGTATAAGAATGTATAAGATATTAATGATTGAAATGTGGGGGCCATTAAAATTTAGCATTTTTGGACCATGGGATGTAATGGATGTAATGGGGTAGCCTATTTCCAGACAGACCCACTTGACTTCAATAGACTTTGAGACAGTCTCGGGCATGAAGTCTTGAGACCTGGCGGCTGACTTGGCCCAAGCTGAGCTGAAACTCCTGGAAGTCATGGCATGATCCCTGCCATGGCTGCGTGGAGTAATGATATGCTGCGTGCATTGGCTACGCTCGCTGGGGCATTTGCAACGGCAAGTACGCAGACACCTCAATTGGAGCACAGTCCTAGTCGTCAGTGTGTTAAAGCTCAGCACAGAAGATATGGCATGAAAATCATGATCAACATGCAAAGCAGTGCCCTTTTTCTGAGGCATCCGCGGGTGCAGAGGAGATGGCCATGTGGCACTTGAACCATGCAGCCATTGAGGCGGATGTGGATGGAATGTGGATGGGATGTGGATGGGATGTGGATGGGATGTGGATGGTAGACGCCTCCATCACAAACACCGTGGTGCACTTGAAATGGCCTGTCTCCGCAGGCTAATTCAATTAGACCCCGGTGTTCGTGACGGACGCGTCTCCCATCCACAGCCCATCTCATGGCATGAGACAAAGCTGCCACCGCACCGCGGTTGGACCATTGCCGACATTGTGCTCCTCATTGGTTTCGGTGACCCTGAGGGTCTGCAACAGCTAAATATTTTGCATCTCAGTGCCATGTGAATTTTGGGATGAAATTTGGATCAATGATGCTCTGGAATTCAACGACGAGTTTCTTCAGGCAGCGCCAAAAGTGCCTTCTTGAATCTCTTTAGGAGCGTTGCCATCGTTGCCAATTCGACAAAGAGGCATGGAGGTTATCATGTTGTACTCGTGCGCGCAGAGCAAGATTGGCATGAACACTGCAAAGTTTGGTTTTCCTGGCGTGACACATTGGACAAGTGTATAAATAACACTCTTCAAATCATTTCTTTCAGAGGGCATCTCTCCGGCTTTGCCAATATTTGGCTACTACTGGCTCTGAACGTGAAATGCAGGCTTTACACAATCTCCCTTCCATGCAGATTTGTTTGAACGTTTGCACTGTCGTAGCCAAAGGAATGCTGGGATTGCCAGTGGATGTGGGCAACAAAAGAATATAGTATATCGGACTGCAATGGACGATATGTTTAGCCAAGATGTGGATTGGTTTGTCGGCAACAGCATTTCCACATTGTCAGCCTTAACATGCCTTAACCATGTACAGTAAGTTCGGGTAAGACAAAAGATGCCAGTTTTACCTTACAATGGAGGCGTCATGGCGTTGGAAGCAATCAGTTGCATTCGCTCAAACACCTTGAAGCTAATACCTCCAATGAGGCCAGGCATCAAATGGTTGTTCACTCTTCCACTGCCCGACGAAACACTGAGCAGAATGATCTGGTCATATCTAGTCTACAATACAAGATGACGATGGTAGCAGCAAAAAGTGCAGCTGCGCATTCAAATTCAACAGTTCAAAAGTGAAGCTCGTCTCCATAGGGTGATCTACCAATTATGGCAGAACCTGACTCCGACAGGCTGCGGGATTTCAAGATTCCGACAGTTGCTGGGGCTCAAGCAGCATCATTAATTGTGGCAATCAATACTATATAATTAATACAGATAGATACAGATTAATACACTTAATTGTGGTGTGATGTTGATGAATCTGCGAAACTAATGGGAATCTCATGAGCAGTTTTGGCAGTCCGTTGCGCACAAAGGATGGAAACACTTGTCGAATTTGGCCAACATGCAAGGATCTGATCCTTGCATCTACAATTCGTTTTACAGTAGAAAAATATGATTTGCCTGGGAGCTTGTTTTGGAAACC